TGCTATGAGTTATATTATTCTCTTTGATAATTTGATTACTAATGATGATCAAAAGACAAATTGTTTTTTGTTCCATGGTACATTTATGATAGTACTGAGGTATGGGCAAATGAAAATTAATGTAGAAAAGTTTCCAAAACTATTACTTTTATAATAAATTATTATAACATTTACTATTAATTTTAACAGCACATTTAGAAACAGTAGGCAGGCAGTAGCTAATAGCAAGAGTAGATAATAGCAAAGGGAAGCGAGAACAGTTATTCAATTAACAGTTCCTCCAATAAGTAGGCTTTCACAATCACATTTCCATACAGATTTGCAAAATCTGCAAACTTGAGACAGCATTTTTAGTAAGTACTCAATGAATCGATCAAACCATGGTTTAATTTTAATTTCAGGGTTGCTATGAACTGGAAATGTTTTGACTGTTTTCCACAGATCAACGAGCCAATCTTCTGTAGTTGGTAACTTTCTAACACTTCTATCTGATAGATCATGTGGATTGGACTCTCCAGCTAGGCAGAAAGGTATGCTATGAGCTGTTTCTTTATCCATGTGACCTTCAAGGAGCTTTCTGATACATTTCTCATACTCCTCCTTTATGTCATTTATTGCTTCGTGTTTCTCCTTTTCAGTAGGCATATACTTAATTGTGGGATCTTGAACAAGAAGATTAGCAAACGTTAGAACAATGACTGTTCTTTTCCATGCCTCCTTATCAAGTTCTTTACCTAAAGCTTGCAAAAATTTCTCTTCACTATCACTAAGGCGATTGGTTATCTTGATGCATACAAAGATAAGATCAAACCGATTACTTTCAGGTATTTCTTCGTTACTCTTATTATAATCATTTGTATCGTACACTTTTAGCTGTACTCCCTCGAACTCTCCTTCGTAGTAATTTTTTGAAACTTCAGTCGAATTTGGTCCAGAGACAACAGGTGCAACAACTTTCCCTAGTGTAGTGTTGACAAGAGTTGACTTGCCAGCTCCAGCCAGACCAGCGAAAAGAATGTGAACAGGTTTCTGTAATTGCTGAAGGTGTGTCTTGGTCTTATCACAAATGATTGGACCTCTGGGTGTGGGATCTTCAGGACGATCCTCGTTAGGCCCTGGTACATTTGTAACATCATCGCTGTCTTCTTGTTTCTCTGCCATTATTACTGATCACAAGTGAATAGCTATTCGTGACTGCTATTAAAGGATAAGCATTATTGTGAACTATTATGACATCATTCACAGGTCATGGGACTAACACTGTGGCTACTAAAGTATTAGTCTAGCTATGCGAGACTATTTATATACCAGAGAAAGGAAAGAGTACAAGGGATAATGGTATGTCCATTACCTTCAGGTAGCCATGTTTACCATCTCCTAGCTGAAGTCAGTAATGGGATGCCTTCAATAAATCCAATATGTCCTATCTTCTTGAGTCTTGCAACCTGTTGCATCACATTAAATTTTACATTGAACTGCAGGCATTAGATTTATATATGCCTGGCATTTCTAACCATTTCAAGGTCATATCCATTAAATGCATTTCTTTGACCACCATGAAGTAGTTCTGTAATCTGTATCTAATACTTTTTCACTCTACTTCTTTCTCTCTCTCACTCACTCTCTTGCCTCATTCTATGAGTGTAATCTGTTTACAAACAATAATTTTTTTAGAAAAATTATTATTCAAACACTCTGAGGGAGGGATTGTTTATGATTATTCCTCTCTCCTAATTTATTAAAGTGCTTTTTTCTGATTAATAAACACCAGTTACATATGTGCACATGCACTATCTTGCTTTTACAATCAGTTTAATTTTACCAAGTTACAACTAGATGTTAAATCTGCTATAGTAATTTTTAACAGACACAAATCACTAACTAACTACACAGTGTTCGAGGTAATCACTAGTGATGCCAATGACAATAACAATTTGAAGGGGAAAGGTAATTAATAAAATGTTATTGCAGTTATTCCTCTTGATCATTGCTCTAACTTTTTTCTTCAAGCTCAACTTCTTGAACTTTTTCAACTTGCTGTTCTTCATCATGCTGTTGTTGCTGCTCTTCTCTTCTTAATATTTTGAAGATTAGTCTTTTAATGAAATCAAATAATTGATCGAACCAATTTTTCTTTTCAGGGCTAACTCGGTTTGCACAAGTCTCCCACAGGTCAACAAGCCAGTCTTCTGTTGTGGGTAGCTCTCTAACACTTCTTTCTTTTGGGTTGAACGGATCAGATATTCCAGCTAGGCAGAAAGGTATGTTATAGGCCATTTCTTTATCCATGTAACGTTCAAGGTGCTTTGTGATAGATTCCTTGTACTCCTCCATTATGTTATTTATTGCTTGGCATTTTGCCTCTTCCATTTTTAAAAGTTTGATCTTGGGATCTTCAATAAGAAAATTAGCAAACGTTAGAACAATGACTGTTCTATTCCATGCCTCTTTATCAAATGCTTCTCCTAAAGCTTGTAGCAAATTAACTTCACTATCACCAACACGATAGGTGATCTTTATGCATAACAAGATGAGATTGAAACCATCACTCTTAGGTATTTTGTGATTACTCTCACTGTAACCATTCGTGTCGCATACTTGTAGCTTTACTCCTTCAAATTCTCCCTCATAGTAACTTTTTGGAGCTTCAATGGAATCTGGTCCACAGCCAGTTCGTGCAAGAACTTCTCCCAGCATAGCATTGACAAGAGTTGACTTGCCAGCACCAGACAGACCAGTGAAAAGAATGTGAACATCTGATCTGCCAAATTTTTCCTTGTGTTTTTCCTGAAGGATTGCTTGAGGTTCTTCAATGGTTGCTTGAGGTTCTTCAATGGGTAAATTTACATTAGGAGAGTTCACTGTCTGTACCTCACCAACTTCTGATGCATCAAGATTGCTGTTCCCGTCCATGCTGTGATGTCGATAAACAGCACGGGAATTTACTGGGGGAATGTCCTACTAAGCAACAGCATTCCTTGTCATCCAAACCTAATTATAATACTATGGCTCTAGTATCATGCATACTTGACAGCACACTCTCAAAGGATATTGTGTGTGTCTTATATTTTTAACCATTTTAAAGTTTGTACACTTGTAACCTCCCACACTTACATGAACATTCTTTGATTACCGTAACTGAAGCTACAATTAGCTTCAATTTACATATACAAAGTCTACTATATATAATATAAATCACTACGTGAGTCACTAACTGACAGACAGTAACAATATGAAGGAGAAGGGATATTAATGATAATGTTATTGCAGTTCAAAATGATGCCTCGTGATCATTGCTTTAACTCCTTTCTTCAATCTCAACTTTTTGAACTTCTTCAACTTGCTTTTCTTCAACATGCTGTTTCTGTTCTTCTCTCCTTGAGAATGTTTTCTTGATGAAAGCAAACAATCGATTGTACCATTTCTGTCCACGTAGGGGCTTAGAGCGCTTTGCAGATATCTCCCACAGATCAACAAGCCAGTCTTCTGTAGTCAGTAACTTTCTAGCATCTCTGTTTGTTGGGTCGGACAGATCAGATTTTCCAGCTAGGCAGAAAGGTATTTTGCGAACTTTTCTATTATTCATGTAGCCTCTGAGATGCTTTGTAATAGATTCCTTGTACTCCTCCATCACTTCCTTTATTGCTTGGCATTTTTCCTCTTCTGTTTTCAAAAGTTCGATCTTGGCATCCTGAGTAAGAAAATTGGCAAACGTGAGAACAATGACTGTTCTACTCCATGCCTCCTTATCAAATGCTTCTCCTAAAGCTTGCAGGAGATTAACTTCGCTATCACCAACACGATTGGTGATCTTTATGCATAACAAGATGAGATTGAAGCCATCACTCTCAGGTATTTCGCGGTTACTCTCACTGTAACCATTTGTGTCGCACACTTGTAGCTTTACTCCTTCAAACTCTCCTTCATGGTAACTCTTTGAAGCCTCAACAGAATCTGGTCCACAGCCAGTTAGTGCAACTGTTTCTCCCAGCATTGCATTGGCAAGAGTCGACTTGCCAGCTCCAGACAGACCAGTCAAAAGAATGTGAACATCTTTTTTGCCCAATTTCTTCTTGTATTTCTTATGAAGGAGAGTAGCTGGAGGTTCTTCAATGGGCTGGCCTTCATTAGGAGGACTCACTTCATCAATCTCTTCATAAAGATTGTCATCAGCATCACTCCATTTATTGCTCATGTTGATGATGGACAGCAAAGAAATGTCTCTGGGAAATATCCAGCAATTATAATATTGCTATTAGACATTTCCTGGAATATATACATATCTTGTAGTACTATAGACTAGACCACAAAAGAATTTGTGTTCAGTTTTCCATGAAATTGCTAAATAAGAAACACATCTCATAATAAATATCAAAAATAGCTTTGACTTGCTGTCCGTATAGTACCATCTGGCTAAAATTGGTATGTACTCTGCATTTTAAAGCCATTATCATAATGTATTCATGTACTCGACATTTGTAAGCCATTATTATAATGTATTCATACTATAGTAATCTATAGGAAGGAGGAGGAGGAGTACAAAAGATAATAGTATGTCCATTACCTTGAGGTAGCCATGTTTTTGCCATCTCCTAACTGAAGTCAATGACTAGCCTTCATCAAATCCAATATGTCCTATCTTCTTGAGTCTTGCAACTTGTTGTATCACACTACATTAAACTGCAGACATTGTGTCTCTACCATTTCAAAGTCTTCCATTAGTCTGTACATTGGGTAACCTCCCACACTATCAAATGCATTCCTCCACATGAACAACCATTCATCACAAGATAATTATCTCGGATTCTTTTCTCTCTCTCTCTCTCATTCTCATCCTCTCAGGCACGGCAGATTAATATCCAATCTCATGCATTGTTATCTAGTAATTTGTTTACAAATTGTGAAGAAAACTATTTTTATTCTACATATAATAAGATAATATAGATCTACTACACTCATTTTAACACACACACACACACAGCTTTAACAAAAGCTGTAATTCAAAATTTTTCTTCTGGATTATTTTGTTGCACTTCAACTTTAACTTGCTTTTCTTTAAGCTCAACCTCTTCAACTTTCTTTTGTTGCCGTTCTTCATTGTGCTGTTGCTCTTCTACCTGTTCATCCTGTTCTTTAACTTGCTTTTCTTCATTTTGCTGCTCTTCTTTTCTTAATATTTTTAGTAATATTTTTTTAATGAAGTCATATAATCGACTGAACCATGTCTTATTTTCCGGGCTGACGTGTTCTGCACAAGTCTCCCACAGATCAACAAGCCAGTCTTCTGTTGTGGGTAACGTTCTAGCATCTCTGTTTGTTGGGTCGAACGGATCTGATTTTCCAGCTAGGCAGAAAGGTATGTTACGAAGTGTTTTTTTATCCATAAAATCTTTAAGGTGTTTTCTGATACATTTCTTGTACTTATCCTTTATGTCATTTATTGCTTGGCATTTTGCCTCTTTTGTTCTCAAAAGTTCAATACTCGAATTGTAAATAAGATGATTAGCAAATGTTAGAACAATGACTGTTCTATTCCATGCCTCCTTATCAAGTGCTTCTCCTAAAGCTTGCAGAAAATTTATTTCACTATCACCAACACGATTGGTGATCTTTATGCATATCAAGATGAGATTAAAACGATGACTCTTAGGTATTTTGTGATTACTCTCACTGTAACCATTTGTATCGCACACTTGTAGCTTTACTCCTTCAAACTCTCCCTCATAGTAACTTTTTGGAGCTTCAATGGAATCTGGTCCATAGCCAGTTCGTGCAAGAACTTTCCCAAGCATAGCATTGACAAGAGTTGACTTGCCAGCACCAGACAGACCAGTGAAAAGGATATGTACATCATTTGTCCCAAATTTCTCCTTCTCTTTTTCATCAAGAATTTTTTGAGGTTCTTTACTAGAGACTAGTTCTTCCCTAGGTAGATTTTCATTAGGAAAGTCTACTGTTTGTATCTCATTGCTGTCTTGAACATCAAGAGTGCCGTTCAATTTATCATCCATGATAGCAGCCATGATAAACAATGAACATGGGATTTTCCCATGTTAAACAATAACATTACATGATAGCATGAAACGTCAGTTTGCATTGTAGTACTACAACTCTAGAGTAGTACATTCTATTGCACTATAATTATTAGTACTACACTCTCAAAGTTATTGTGTGCAATTCTTGACATAGCTTGAACTAAATAATAAACATTTCTGATTATACATATCAAAAATAGTCTTGATTCACTGTCCATAGTACCACCTGGCTAGAGTATTGGGATGTACTCCACACTTGTAAGCCATTATGATAAATGTATTCATACCAGTAATCTATAGGAAGGAAGAGGAGGAGTACAAGAAGAATGGAATGTCCTTTACCTTGAGGTAGCCATGTTTCTGCCATCTCCTAGCTGAAGTCAGTAATGGCATACCTTCAACAAATCCAATATGTCCTATCTTCTTGAGTCTTGCAACCTGTTGTATCACTGACATTACATTAAACTGCAGACATTATGTCTCTACCATTTCAAAGTCTTCCATTAGTCTGTACATTGGGTAACCTCCCACACTATCAAATGTATTCCTCCACATGAACAACCCTTGATCACCATAAGGTAATTCTATATAATACAATCATGTACTATACATGCATTACCACTTTATTTCCGCATACATATATACCTTTACATGTCTGAGTACATGCTTACCATAGTGTATTGATCTTCTTTTTGTCCCCCACTCTAATAGTTTCATCTGTTGCAAGAACCACCATGAAACCTCCTTCCTAGATATAATAGTTAATTTACAATGTACAACTATTTTTTCTTAATTTTTCTACCTCTTTTCTGTTACATGTAGTACATCAAGTCCAAAGTGAAATGCCCCAGCAGTAACTCCAGGTTTAGTTAGTATATTAATAGCTTTAGAGTCATAATGAACAGGTAGCTGACTGTCAGCATGTATGAACATGAGCAGCTTATGACTGGTGGCTGCTGCTCCTTCATTTAACTGGACTCCTCTACCTAAAGTAAAAATGGTAATACTGTGTATAAAAATAAAGTGTTTAGTTAACCTCTTTGACTGCAGGTAATTAATTTAAGTTTTACTCCTCTTCCTTTAAATTCATTTCTTAGTTCCTCCACAACTTTCTCAGGATTATCTGTGCTCTTACCGTCTGCTAGCACAATCTCTAATCTTTCAGGTGAATCTGCATTCTATTATAGTAATAATGGGTAATTTTTATGCTTGAAATACATGAATATTTACATACTTCAACTAGTGTTCTAATGACTCTGTCCAAGTTGTGAGATTCATTGAGTACTGGTATCACAATAGACCAGTGTGGTTTTAATATATCAGTTTTACTGATACCCATACACTTTTGAACTATTGGTAAATCCTCATCTTGATCCTAATGTAAGAAGAAGGAGAGAAAGTTTACTGGTGAATTATGTACATTATTTATTAAAGTGTTTGAATTGAGTAGTAACACTTACAATGTCATTAAGTTCTGTTGCTAGTAGTTTCAGTTTCAATCCTAATGCACTAGCAGCCTCTATCTGTTGCTGGAGTACTTTATCAGTCCCCCAATCTATACCTTTAAATAACTGACCTGTAAAAATGCTTCAATAAATATTTGATTTCTTTCATCATGAATGACTCACTGATTTTAGCTTCAGCTCTTGCTGATGCACCCACAGTGTAGTATCCACCATCAATTGCTGGTCCTAGAATAATGTCAGAACTTTCATCTTCTATTAGTTTGAATCCTTCACAAATCAAATCCGGAGATATCCCTGGTATATCAGATCCAACCTATATGTATAATACAGATTAATACATAATGCAAACAATGATTCCATAGGCTATAGGATTGCTAGCTTTATTGTATTGCATCCTTACAATTAGGACAGTTTGAGCTCCTTCTTTCATTGCTTCCAAGAGAGCGTTGCTCATTCTCTCTCCCAAATCAGCTCCTTCTTGTTTCCTATAAACAAGCACAGGATCAGACCCTCTGCTCCCTATCCAGTAGTCCATGTCCTGCTGGCTTCCTCCATAATAACGCACTTCAATGCAGAGATTGCTGATGGCAAGCTGAGCCTTCTTTAACGCGGACATTATGTGATTGCTCTTTAAGGAGATATAAATTGATGTTGTTATAGACAGTCTATATTCAATTACATGCATCTTAATTTTAGAATTGGGCCCTTTAATTATTTCAATCAAATCATCATTATTGCATACTCTATATTAGATAAATTACATGCATCTTAGTTTTATAGAATTGGACCCTTTAACTATTTCAAATCAAAATCATCATATGCATTTTAAAGGATTCCTAACCATTAGCAGCTGAAGGTGGGCGGCCCCAGATGCCCCGAGGGCGGGAATTAATCTTGTTTTGGTTTTCCCTGGGGTTGGATAGCGGGTGAAGAGCACTACTCTCCTCCGTAAGGTCAGCTGTCTCCTTCTCTTCCAGTTCTGATAGATACCCGGTATAACTCGCGTTAAAATGAGGTAATAAGCAACCGCCAAGTACAAAGGCAACATTTTTGGATAATTTCTACAACCAGCCACACCTTTTGATGGGCGTGACTAGTAACTATACACCCACTCACCCACGTGTTATAGTTGGGCGTGGTTTAAAACTGTTACCATGGCTACCTGACAATTGGAGGCTAGAGAAAGTGCTCTTTATCGTGTTTATTGGACATCAACGTCTCCAGAGACATGTCCTCCAGCAAAGCTAGCCCTCACTTTACCCTTGGTATTGACAGGAAGGACCTTCAGGCACGAATATACGCTCAGCCTGATGTTCTCTCCCAAAACAAACCTCTGGCCTTAAAGGCAGTAAGAAAAGGCCCACCTCAGCCAGCCAGGCCCTTTATTCAGAGGAAACTAGAGCCTCTACCAGCTCTAGCAGCTTACCAGAAACGAAAAAACGAAGAGGTGTTAAAGTTTGAAGAGAAGCCCGAAGAAGCTCGAGGTTCTGTTCCCCCTCACCCAAAACACATGAAAACAGATGAACCCTCTTCCCCCACCTTCTCTTCCAACCCTTCCCTTCCTGAACTCGCCCCTCAGCCTTTGTCCTCTCTACACGTCACTCCTCCACGTCCTCCTATATCTTCACGTTTAACTGACTCTTTCCTTCAAGTCCGCAAGAGACAATCCTCCTCTCGTAAGACCAACCAGAGTGCCCTTTATGTGAACACAGACCCAGGTACTGTGATAACGAAATACTCTCCTCCACTGGAAGAGCTCACGGATCCACTGGAGATAGTCGCAAGACTTAAGAAAGAGCCGGAATTAGGTTTTGTGTATTTGACGCCTTCTGGAGGATCTGTTCATTATAATCCTTATAACTTGAGGTATTAACCCTAATTTAATCATCCACTCTTGTTAACATGTATAGTACATGAATTTTGATCATATTTTTTTACTGTTCTACATTGATGTGCATACAGCAAATTGCACAGACCTTGCAAACCAATTCAAAAACCAATCTATTACCTTCAAATGGACTATCTAAACTTGAGGTGTGTCTTGCATTGTGTGGTCACATTAAGAAACAGACCACCTACACAACTGCCAGTTTGCAAGGTCTATGTGCAAATAGCTGTTACTGTACATCTGTACATGATGGATCTACATGTACATGTACCTGTAATACAGTAATACAAATTATAATGTTTTGCTTAATACATTGTGATTGCACCTTTTCCTCCCTTTCTATTCCCTCCCTCCCTCCCTCCCTCCCTCCCTCCCTCCCTCTCTCTCTCTCTCCATCCCTTTCTCTCAGAGTTGTTGTACATTCTAAGGTAAATAAGAATGATTACTCCACTCTCAGCCTAAGAGGTGTCACAAGGCTACGTAATGGCAAAGAGGCCGACTTCACAGAGCTGAATCAATGGGTGAGCGACTACAACCACTTCAACAAGCTACTCAAAATAAAAACTTTCTTTGTCTTTCGGATGTGGAAAGCATTCGCTACCTGGAGGAAGAGCGTTCGTACAAGAAAGATCTCTCGTTGTCGTAAAAGCTTGAAAGAGAACCTCTTTTATCTTCACCCTGATCTTGGGAAGGCATTGCTTGAGATAAAGGAAGGTGCTGAGAACATCAGTGAGAATGAGCTAATGACTGGAATAGACCCTTCAACTACTTATACACTGGAGGAATTCCAAGGATCTCAGCTAGGGAAGATGGGGATTGTAAGTTACTATGTAGTTTTTGTAAATTATTTGTACATGTACATGTACTAGCTTCTGTCTCTTTCCTCTGTAACTCATACATGTACTTATATGTGCAAAGTGCATTTACTATGTATGTTCCTCATTTGATATTTTAATTATACATATACATGTACATTTATCTCTTTCTTTTAGTATTATAACTTAAGATGTACATGTACATATACATTGTACATACTGTACACTGTACACTGTATGTTCCTCATGCTTTTCTCTCCTTCTCTCTCTCCAGGTTTCCATTAATCTAGCTCAGTTTCATCTTGATATAAGGAACATAGCAAGACATGCGTGTGAAGAGGCTCTGAGGAGAGAACAGTTTGTACCAGACCCCATCAGACCTGATGATCCCAAGAGCAATGGTAATGTACACATCAGTATTATTGCATTACTAGCAGACATGGGGTCAAGCACTAAGGAATGTACTTAAACACAAACACAAGCACTTAAATGTGTTAGAAGTACCAGCACAAGCACAATCTATAGCTTCACCATAAGTGTTTAAGTACAAGAACAAGCATTTTCCAGAGTGCTTAAGTGTATTAATAAGTACTAGATATTCACTATAAAGTAAAATTACAATTATAGTTGTTCACTGTACATGTACATGCACTGAGTCATTCAATTTACTATTGCATCTAATAAACACTAACTCTGTAAATTGTTCATAATAAATGAAAACAGCAGAGAACTTTGGAGTGATACCACTAATGGTGATACCATTACCGTTCTTCAAGCTGACACGTAATCACACAAAGTGCTACTACTGTAAACTTGTATGCTACTGTTACTACAATTTATTGGACTGTGTAACCACTACATGTACATGTAGTGGTACATGTACATGTACAAGTAGTGGTACATGTACATGTACATCTACATGTAGATGTACACTATTCATGTGCAATTTTTGCTGTACTTAAAAGCACTTTTTGTAAATTTTTAAAAGTAATAAAGAAGCACATAGATTATATTGAAAAGGTGCTTGGAAGCAGCACTAAGTACTTTGAAAGCTCTGCTTATAAGTACAAGCACCAAGTGCTTGACCCCATGTCTGATACTAGAAGAATCTAAAACATTTAAAGAGGCTGAGCTCCCAGCCATGCTATTGTTATGCTATATGACCACCCTTGCCGCTTGAGAAGTTTTGAATAGCATGCAGTTTAGTTTTGCTGACCTTTTGTAAAAATAACCGAGATAATAGACTTGGATAGTAGCCATTACATCGTGACCACACCTGCATTCAATGATAGTTAGATGACTGTATCCCCAAACAGACAAACAAACTCACTCTCATCTTAGTGGGCTTCGCCCAAATATTATTGTAATTGTACTTACTCATGTGTCTATTTTGTGTACATGTAGATGTAAATGTAGACTCTACTGTATAGTGGGTTCTTTGAGAATAACACATTTTGCAAGATTTGTGAAATTAAATTCCTTGGAAATCAATTTAATATACATGTAGTACAAGATGGCAGGATAGTGGAAATTCGCGAAAATTAATTTTGTAAACCTCCTGATACAGGTCATTTGCGAAAATTATTATCCTCAAAAAAATCCTGCTACATGTACATTATATTCAACCTCTTGAATACCCTCTTCCTTCCTCTACACATGCAGGTATTGATGATACATTAGATTCCTCTCGTCTCTCCCTGGACTCCATTGAGATGCAGAAGTACACGATGCAGGCATTGAAAAGGAACCATTGTCAGCGTCTCTCCTGCTTCATTCGTCTCTGTGACTACATCATACTCTCAATGCTCCACGACCTCACTCTCGGCTCTGAGAAGCATTTGCTTCAGTGCCTGAAGGAGAGGGCCAGCTGTGTGGTAGAGATTGAGGACTTTGCTGAACCGATTCCTGATGATGAGGAAGAAGATGAAAAAGTTTTGCTCCTTCCACTTAAGACTCCATCATCTTCTGTTCAAAATACACCATCAGTAAGTGCTCTATCTTCACAAGTTTTACAGCCTAACTTTAATTGCTTTACAATTTGTCACCTACTATCTCTTACTTCTCCTTTGTTTAGCATCTTGGTAGACGTCCCACTAATAGTAATGTAGCCATTGATGATGAACACCAGGTGGACTACAAGTGTCTCTTTATTTCTCATCTCAAGTTAGAGTCTCAAGGACTCGAGTATAAGCCCAGTCTTCATGATTTCCAGCAAGTCCTAGCAGACACTATGACCAGATACCAGGACTGCACACTGGCTGTTCCTAATCTACTCTCAGACTCTTATTTCAATGCATTCACTAGGTAATGACCAATACACTATACATACACTGTACATGTATACACATGTACATGTACTGTACATGCATGAATACAGTGTAAGCTGTGTGCCACTGTAGCCTCAATATAATGGACACTTTGGTACTAGAAAAACTTGTCTGTTGTATCTGTTGTACAGAAGTGTTCTTTATGTGAAAGTTATTTTAAACAACTATTTACTACACATGTACATGTAGATGATTCTGCTGTAGAGAAGGCTCTAATATTAGGCGTATGTTTTTAATGTAGGCCAGTTATTAATAACAAAGTAGAAGAGAAGACATGTGGGACTGGTCCTAGTCTGGCAGACATTTTTGAAGATGACATTGAGCTAATGAATGTTGCACAATCAGTACAAGTAAGAACATACACTATGTACAGTTAAACATTAAATGTACCTACCTATACTGTACATGAATAGGACGTCCTGTTATCAAGCTTCAGTCTAGCTGATGACTATGCTAGCAAGTTTGAGCTCTTTAGGAAGTTTTATGAAGAAAATGAACAGTTTGAACTTGATAGCCTTGAAGATGAAGACAATGGTACGTATAAATGTACATGTGCATATACATGTACATGTACATGTACATATTGCATGTTCATGTATATGTATAATTATGTACATTTTACTATGATTCTGATTTCTCTCCTCCTTTAGATGTAGCGTTCTACAGGAAGAGGCTGTACAGGTATAGGAAGCAACATGTTCAGGCTGTGGAGAAGTGCCCCACTGACAAGAAGCTTGGACTACTACTGGTTGATACCAATGAACTAAAGGCTAGACTGATACCATCCCCTGTTAGGTGTCTGGAGGTAATTAAATTATACTTTACTATTAATTTTGTATGCTCATGCACCTATTAATTTGCAATACATAATTACTGTGTCTCTTTTTAGGCTATACATGATGTAATGCCAGCTAAAGCTAAATCAATGATGGACAGGCTAATACAGCTATCACAGGATGCTACATTTAGACTAGAGACAGAGCCAACCAGCACAATGGAATATGTATCATTATTGACTTTCCTTGACGAAATACAATCACAGGTAGAATAATGAATAGACTGACCACATGTACACATTTGTACTATTGTACTAAAATATGATCCAGTTGCTCATTGTATTGTGTATAATAATCATTATGTTATAGGTTGATAAAGTTGAGGAGGAATCAGAAGTTACTAAGGACCTGTATGAACTAATAGACAAGTATAAGGTCCCAGTGCCGCCTGAGGACTACACTTATGCCTTCAACATGCTTAAACCAGCTGTGCAAGGACTGAGGAGCTCTGTTGATAGGGTCATGAGTCAGAGGGAGCAGTATATTGATAAGTTTTGTAGGTTCTTGGATAAAGATATAGTGGCATTGAGGAAGGAGCTGAAGGGAGTTAAAAATGAAGCCCAGGTACGTACATGTACTTTTATTACATACTTACATGTACATGTACATGTACATGTATAAATTGAAACTTTTTAGTGGAAATCATGCAGTTCAAACTATAGCATAAGGACATCTTTTAATGTAATAAAAATTAGGGGTAATTTTGGAGCCATTTGAAAAAACCATATGGTATAGCCTTGGGTATTTTTCAAAAATTGGCTCGTTTTTGAAAATTGTCATAACTTGAAATTTGTTTCAGAATTGACTCAAACTTTCTACACATACACAGCATAAGGACATCAATATGCGTCAGGGATTATAATAAAAATTGGGGGTGATTTTTAGCAAAGCATGGGCTATAGCCTTAAGGTATTTTTCAGATTTTGGCCCATTTTGAAAAATGATCGTAACTTGAAAAATTTTAGTCGGAATCAGCTCAAACTTTCTACACAGCATAATGACATCAATATGCATCAGAAAATATAATAAAAATTGGGGGTGATTTTTTAGCCATTTTTTGGAAAAAGCATGGGCTATAGCCTTGGGTATTTTTCAAAAATTGGCTCGTTTTTGAAAATTGTCATAACTTGAAATTTGTTTCAGAATTGACTCAAACTTTCTACACATACACAGCATAAGGACATCAATATGCGTCAGGGATTATAATAAAAATTGGGGGTGATTTTTTAGCCATTTTTTGGAAAAAGCATGGGCTATAGCCTTAAGGTATTTTTCAGATTTTGGCCCATTTTGAAAAATGATCGTAACTTGAAAAATTTTAGTCGGAATCAGCTCAAACTTTCTACACAGCATAATGACATCAATATGCATCAGAAAATATAATAAAAATTGGGGGTGATTTTTTAGCCATTTTTTGGAAAAAGCATGGGCTATAGCCTTGGGTATTTTTCGGATTTTGGCCCATTTTGAAAAATGGTCATAACTTGAAAAATTTTAGTCGGAATCAGCTCAAACTTTCTACACAGCATAATGACATCAAAATGTATCAGAAAATATAATAAAAATTGGGGGTGATTTTTTAGCCATTTTTTGGAAAAAGCATGGGCTATACTTGGGTATTTTTCGGATTTTGGCCCATTTTAAAAAATGATCATAACTTGAAAAATTTAAATCGGAATCAGCTCAAACTTTCTACACAGCATAATGACATCAATATGTATCAGAAAATATAATAAAAATTTGGGGTGATTTTTTAGCCATTTTTTGGAAAAAGCATGGGCTATAGCCTTGGGTATTTTTCAGATTTCGGCCCATTTTGAAAAATGATCATAACTTGAAAAATTTTAGTTGAAATCAACTCCATCTTTTTACACGTCATAAGGATATCAGTATGGTTTTTATGGCACTGGTAATGCATGAATATACTGTACTTGTACTTGTAGAGAAAGCTTTATACCACAATCCACTGTAAGATATATCTTAATTCTCTCCCTATCTTCTTCCAATAGAATCCACTAGTGCTTGATCCAGAAGCTGATGAAGAGAAGGTCAGAGGAATACTACAAGATCTTCAGTCAAAACTCGATGGGCTCAACGATAAAGCTGTATCATACAAAAATCATCAGAAAAAATTTAAGGTATCAGAACTAGACAAATATACATGTACATGTACATGTACTGTACACTGCATTACATGTACTTACAGTTTTATTTTATGATTCCATGTACATTGTACATTATGCATTTTTATTAATACTGTATAGCACTTTAATTTTGCGGAGCTAAAATTTCGCAGATTGATAAAAATCAATTTTTCGCGGAAATAACTTTTGCGGATTCGCAATGTTAGTGCCACACCTTTAATGGCAATTGAAATTTTAGTGGATCTTTAATTTTGCGGTTTCATGCTAACCGCGAAAATAGTGAAAGTTTAGCTCCTCGAAAATAAAGCGCTATACGGTAGTTTAGTAGTGCTTGGTATACACATGCACAATGCTTTATACATATACATATACATGTACATGTAACTTTGTATGCCACTGTAATGACTGTATTGCTGCATGTACATGTATGTACATTGTAGGTTGAAGTGACTCGGTTTGAAGAATTGGAGGAAGTCACAACAGAAGTGAAACTGAAGCAGTTAATGTGGGACGCTAGAAATGAATGGGATACATCATACAATGAATGGATGACAGTAAGGGGAAGGGAGAGAGGGAGAAAAAAAACTATCACATACATGTACATATACACCTACATGTACATTTGTATTTTCTTCTTTTTTAGACTCCGTTTGATGAACTTGTTCCTGATACTGTCAACACTCAAGTAGTGAAGTTTGCAAAGAGCGTCTACCAATTAGAGAAGGGGCTTCCCCCTAATGCAATAGTCCCCAAACTCAAGACTAAAGTTGAAGAGATGAAAGACAAGATGCCGGTCATACAGGACCTCCGTAATCCTTCACTGAAGACCCGCCACTGGGAACAGATTGAGGAAATACTTGATCACAAGTTTGATCCTGAAGAGAAAAAGACTTTAAAATTACTTGAGGAACTTAATGCGTTTAATTTTGCTGAGGCACTGCAGGAGGTGTCTGGACAGGCATCTTCTGAAGCTTCACTGGAAGCCATTTTGAAAAAGGTACTGTATACAACAAGTATTTATGATAATACATTGTACATGTACTGTAGGTTGAAGATGGATGGAAGACAATGGAGTTCATTGTATTGCCACACAGAGACTCTAAGGATGTATTTATATTAGGAGGAACTGATGATATACAAGTACAACTTGATGACAGCATTGTAAGTACATTTACATGTATGTGTATAAAGCAATAAAGCTCTTTCTCTTTTCATTAAGCACATGTACATTGTACATGTATAATGTCTTTATGCTTCTATCTGCTTGTTTTTCTGCAGGTCAATGTTAGTACTATTGCTGGCTCACGTCATGTTGGCCCCATAAAGCCAAGGGTTGAGGACTGGGAGAAGCAACTAGCACTCTTCTCTGAAACACTAGTAAATACACATGTACGCATACATGCACATGTACATGTACATTTTTATAGGAGGAGTGGTTAACCTGTCAGAGGAATTGGCTTTATCTGGAGAGTATTTTTGGAGCTCCAGACATTCAGAGACAGCTACCTGACGAGGCTAAGATGTTCAACCAAGTGGACAAATCTTGGAAAGAAATAATGAGAAGAGTTCAGAAGAACCCACTGGCCATTAGATCAGGAACCACACCTGGTAAGATAATGTACAATTTAAACAAATAACACAGCATAATGCATGTCAGATAAAAACACAAAAAATATCTAGCAATAAGCACATGCACAACAAATAAAAATACATAATAACACGTAAGTACATTGTAGATTGTAGATGTATATAATTTTTGCACTACATTTCCTCAGGTTTGCTTGAAGAGTTTAAGAAGAGTAACTCGTTACTGGAGCAGATCCAGAAGTGTCTGGAGGACTATCTTGAGAGCAAGAGGCTTCTCTTCTCTCGATTCTTTTTCCTCTCGAATGACGAGCTACTCGAGATATTGTCACAAACACGGAACCCTCAGGCAGTCCAGCCTCATCTTAGGAAGTGCTTTGATGCAATTGCAAAGTAAAGAAGGAAAATTTATACATTGCATCTGCACATGTACATGTATACACGAGCATGTACATGTACATGTATACCTTGATGTACAGTACATGTACATTAGTGACATGGATTTTTAGTTTTGTTCAATCTTACACTCTATAGCTATAGCTGTCTTTCTTTATTTTTAGGTTAGAGTTTGGTAAGGGACCTCCTTCAGAGCCTGGCGGTCCGCCCACTATCACTAACGATATATTAGCCATGCTGTCACCTGAACAAGAGAGTGTTGCCTTACAAAAAGTACAAACACATTTACAGTACATACATGTACATGTACCTGTACATCTACATGCGTATCTAAATGTATTGCATGTACATTTACTTCTTTTCTTTCTTTTCCTTTTTTTCTCTTTTTTTAGGGTCTTAAAGCAAGAGGCAATGTTGAGAACTGGTTGACTAATGTTGAGGAGTCAATGGTTGTGTCATTGAGGAAACTAACTAAAGTTGCCATTGCAGACTTTGATACCAGACCACGCCATGAGTGGGCAACAATGCACGCCAGTCAAGTACGCCATCCATCATGTACATGTACCCGGTACATGTTTATGCATGTATTGTAATTGTATTGTACAGTATACATAATTATTATTAGAAACTTGTATATGCTTTACATCCACTTTAGGTTGTATTGACTGTATCACAGATAATGTGGTGTAAGGATTTAACAGAGTGTCTCATGAAAGAGTCGCCTGATGAAGTACTTGAATCTGTTAAAGGAGCTGAACAAAGATGCTTTGATGTAATGGAGCCACACTTTCTCACCCCTCTCTCTCTCCCCTCTTCCTTTTTATCCCTCCCCCTTCCCCTCTTCCTTTTTATCCCTCCCCCTTCCCCTCTCTCCTTCTACATGTACATGTACACAATGTATCTCTTGCTTTCTTGCTTTACATGTACATGTACTGCATTTGTATTTCTCTCTCTTTCTCTCGACAGAATTTGAATAAATTGGCAGAGCTGGTTCGTGGCACACTCCCTAAGCTGATACGTAACATAATAGGAGCACTGATAACTATTGATGTACATGCTAGAGACATTGTGACACAGATGGTAGAAAACAAGGTAAAAAGTATAATAGCAGCATAATGGAAGTACACATGTGTAATAACAGCACATACATGTACACATGTATACATGTATGTACATGTACATGTGCAGCTTGCATGCAGATCGATGCATGTAAATGTACAATTCTGCATGTACATGTAGTGGGATAATTTGGCAGTGCTTAATATTGGTGATTTTTGATTGCCATGTATTGGCAGTTTTTATGTTGTAGCCATACATGTATGTCATTGAGCTTGCTCAGATACAGCAAAATGGCAGATTTTATTTGGCAATTTTATCATTAATCTGCCAATTGCCAAGATGTACATGTACATGTAAATCTCTTTCAATTTCTCTCTCTTTTTCTTAGGTAACTGGTTTAAGTGATTTTGAGTGGGTGAAGAACCTCAGGTATTATTGGGATCCTGAGATTGACGACTGCATTGTAAAGATGTCCAATTCAAGATACATTTATGGATACGAGTATCTTGGAGCATCACCACGTCTTGTCATCACACCACTCACTGTAAGATACTGCACAGTATACATGTACAATGTACATGTACATGTACATGTATGTGCATGATCTGTGTTACATGTACATCTACATGTATATACATGTATATGTACATGTACATGTACATGTGTACAGCATTGGTTCATTGCATACATGTATTATGTACTTATGTTGTGTAGAAGTTTGAGCTGATTCAGATCAAAATTGAATTATTATAAATTTTTAAAGTCGCTTAAAATGTGGTCAAAGTTCCTGTACAATATATTGTACATTACATGGTTTCAAGCCAAATTTTGCAAAATTGAAAAGGAAAGAATTCTTATATTTTGCCTGATGAATGTACATGTACATGTACTGTACATGTGAAAGTTTGAGCTGATTTTGATCAAAATTGGATTTTTTACTGATTTTTAAAATCGCTCAGAAATCTGCATGATTAAATTGCGCATGCATACACATGGATTTGTGGAAGCAACTACTGTACATGTAAAATTCAATATTAGCCTTTACTGCTTTACAGTTCATGTACATGCATATAATGTATGTACTGTAATTACATATAATACTGTACATTGTACATGTACATGTATTGTAGGATCGCTGCTACTTGTGTCTTATGGGTGCACTCCAGTTGGATTTGGGCGGGGCCCCTGCCGGCCCAGCTGGTACTGGAAAGACTGAGACAACAAAAGACTTAGCAAAAGCACTTGCAAAGCAATGTGTCGTGTTTAACTGCTCGGAAGGACTGGACTTTAAAGTAAGAGGAAAGAGGGAAACTTAATTAACAAAATTAATTTTAATTACATTTTGTATCTTTTTCTTAGATGATGGGTAGGTTTTTCTCTGGTCTGGCCCAGTCCGGAGCCTGGTGCTGTTTTGATGAGTTCAATCGTATCGATATTGAAGTATTGTCTGTCATTGCACAGCAACTCCTTACCATCAGGAATGCTAAACTAGCAAGGGTAAGATACTGTACATAGTCCTACTAATAGCGGTGTTATTTATAACAGAGACCCTGCAACGATATACATGTACATGTATTTTTATAATACAGTACATGTACGTTTTAAAACTTTGTGTACATGCACACTTACATGTACATGTACCTTGCACACATTATACATGTAATTTCGATCATTTCCCTTTTCTCATGCAGGCTAAGACCTTCTTATTTGAGGGTAGAGAGATTAAGCTGATAAGGACTTGTGCTGCCTTTGTTACCATGAACCCAGGCTATGCTGGTCGTACTGAACTACCTGATAACCTTAAAGCTCTTTTTAGACCTTTCGCTATGATGGTCCCTGACTATGGTAAGGATTATAATGAATTACCCTATCACTATCTCTTCTCTCTCTCCCTCTCTCTCTCCTCTCTCTCCTCACTCTCTCCCCTCTCTCTCTCCCCTCTCTCTCTCTAGCTCTCATTGCAGAGGTTATATTGTATTCTGAAGGTTTTGAGTCATCTAAGAATTTAGCGAGGAAGATGGTACAGATGTACAAGTTGTGCAGTGAGCAGTTGTCCCAGCAGGATCATTATGACTTTGGAATGAGGGCAGTCAAATCGGTTAGCAATTAGACATTATCATGCATGAACATTCATCATTTGGTACATGCATGTACATGTACATGTACATAAGCAACTATTACTGTATTTTTGATTATTATAGATGTAAATTTATAGCATCAATTAGTATTACAATTACATTCAATCACTTAATGTACTGCTACTGCAGGAAATGTTTAGGAGCATCTAATTACAATTTGATCTTTATGCTATTTATTTCATTTTGATATAATAACTAATGAATCGGGGTATAAACCCCTTCAAAAATTGGTTTATGTGGACTACACCAAAGGAATCCCTGTCCTACAAGCAGATTGAGTCTGCAATGTGAAGTGGTGCCTTTTATATGCTGATAACTGTAAAAGGGTTTAATGGGTTGTCGGACTTTGTGGTTAGGTATCACATGATCTATTTGCTGATACATGTAGATGTAAAAATTAAATTACATGTACATGTACATGTAATTACAATGTACATGTACTTGTACATGTACATGTAGATGTGCATGTACATACATACCTACCATTATATTTGTTAATCTCATTATTATTGATAGGTGCTAGTAATGGCTGGACAGCTAAAGAGAGAGAATCCTCACTTGAGGGAAGACGTTGTTCTCATTCGTGCTCTTAGAGACAGCAACTTACCAAAGTTCTTAGCTGATGATGCCATTTTATTCAAAGTAAGGGAAGCATGCATTTGCCATGCAATGTACATGTACAATTGTACTTTTACAATAATACATGTACATGTACAAAATCATATGCTGATGTTCTCTGTTGGATCAGATGCCGTTTATCATTCTCACTTCTAAGATCCTCTATTGTGTGCCTGAGAGGCGCAAGGTCATCTTATCACAAGCCCATACACTCTTTAACTCTCTTGACCTTGCTCTTGCTGAAAGGCATGTGTCTCATTAACTCTACCTATCTATGTTCCTCCCTTCTTGTATATACGTGCATTACATATTATTATTTGTTGTGCATGTACTTATTACTACATATTTTTTGTGTTTTTATCTGACATGTATTATGCTGTGTTTACAATGTACATGTACATGTACATCAGTAGCTGTATAGACCTCATTTTATTTTCTCTTTTTGTCATTTTCTCTTTCCTCCGCCTCTCTTTTGCTCTTTCCCTTTCTCTCCTCCCTTTTCTCCTTATCTTCTCAGGGTATATTACAAGACTTGTTTCCAGGCATTGAGCTACCTGAGCATGATTACGGTATCCTCCAGTCCTCCATTGAGAATGCTGCTCTCTCCAGGGACCTTCAGGTAGTGCCTACTCAAATAAAGAAGGTCATCCAATTGTATGAGACTATGCAAGTACGTCATGGACTCATGTTAGTGGGCCCTACTGGAGGTGGAAAAACAACCTGCTATCAGGTAAATATAATTACATGTACATAATAGTATAAAAATATACATGTACAATACAGTGTACATGTACATTAGTACTGTAGTTATTGTCATTTATTTGTAGATATTGAAGGATGCTTTGACTACATTGCATTCACAAGGTCACCAGCATCCTGACTATCAGCCAGTCCATACCTTTGTACTCAACCCTAAGGTACACATTCAGTCTATGGTTATAGCTAGTATATTGTATGTGGGATTGATGATTATATAATTGCAATGTATTATTGCTTCTCTCCATCTTGTTCTGTGTCCCTCAGTCTGTTAGTATGGGTGAGTTGTATGGTGAAGTGAACAAGCTAACGTTGGAATGGAATGATGGGCTAATGGCTATCACTGTCAGGCACTGTGTCAAGGTACATGAGTACAGCTAGTGTATATAAGTTTATATTTACATGTACATGTACTGTATCTGTCAATTTTTAACATGTACATGTACATGTATACTGTATATTATTGTCATTATTAAAGCTTATTGCATACATGTACATGTAAGTTTCTGATGCATGCCCTTTAGCCCTGTAGGCATGCATGTACATGTACATGCACATGTACATGTACATGTACATGAACATCATTTAAATTTAGAATTTTTTTCAGTAAACTATATGCATTGTGGTTAATAGGATACTACTGATGATCATAAATGGGTCATTTGTGATGGGCCAGTGGATGCATTGTGGATTGAGAACATGAACACTGTACTGGATGATAATAAAATGTTGTGTCTTGCTAACTCTGAGAGGATTAAGCTAACCCAGAGCATACACATGGTCTTTGAAGTACAGGACCTTGCTGTGGCATCACCAGCCACCGTCAGTCGATGTGGTATGGTATACGTTGATCCTGGGGAACTCAAATGGAAGCCATACATACAGACTTGGATTGAGCACAAGTTTCCTATAAAGCTACCTGATGCTACTAAAGTAATATAGAAGAATCATTGAGATTATTATTATTATTATTTGTTTTTTATTATTATATTTAGGCATATTTGATTGAATTATTTGACAAGTTTATTGATCCTGGACTTAAGTTTATCAAGAAACACTGTATTCAAGCCATAGACCAAGTAATGATACCATATGTGTATTTAATATCAAATCAAATCAATGACTGATATATTAGTTCAAATCAACCATTAATCATTGAATCACTAACAAATCAAATTAATCACTTAGCACTGATATTTTACATTGATACTTTGTAGGTTGATATTAATCGTGTTGTAACACTTTCAAAACTATTTGAGTCACTACTTTGCAAAGACCCAAAGAGAGTTGACTGGAAAGGCGAGACATCTAAACTCCACCCACTCCTGTGCACTACATTCCTGTTCTGCTATGTGTGGGCGTTGGGAGGCAACCTAGTACAGAAATCAATGGACAGTTTTGAGAATTTCGTGAGAGACGTATTCTCTGAAACACATGATGTTAAGGTAAGAGTAATGAAATTATATTTATTTTGGCTAATGAACTTAATTTCAGCTGTTTACCCATTTAAATTTTTTGTGGTTATTACCAGAGTTTTTATTCTTATTTTTAGATACCAGGAGGTGGGGATCTCTACAGTTACTTTGTCAATTTTGAGTCACGATACTTGGAGTCCTGGGATAAAATAATACCGACTTTTAGATACGACCCAGAAGTGCCTTACTTTGACCTCCTAGTCCCTACTGTAGATACAGTGAGGTATGGTTACCTCATGGAGGCACTGCTTGATGTCAGATATTCAGTACTATTCACTGGTACTACTGGAGTTGGAAAGGTACACATACTAATCTGTGCATCTTTAAATTTTCATCACTTTACTAAATTTTTAAAAGAATGTTGTATCATTATTGTACTCTACATTGAGCAATTATTTGGATTATCTTGTATCTCTTATTCTCTTAGTCTGTCATTGCTAAAGGGAAGCTGACAGAATTGCAAGAGAAAGGCCTGTACGTTCCAGTGTTTATTAACTTCTCAGCTCAGACTAACAGCATACGTACACAAGAGATCATAGAGTCTAAACTGGAGAAGAAAAGGAAGACTGTCCTTGGTAAGTTGGACATGTATATGTACTACAAAATGTAAAAAGTTACATGTACATCTACATGTTGTATGTACAGTACATGTATGTACATGTACATACATTATGTCCCATGTCCAATTAATACATGTATTTACTCTCTCTTTCTCTCTTTCTCTATTTAATTCAACAGGTGCTCCGGCTGGGAAACATGTTGCCATTTTCGTTGACGATTTAAACATGCCAAAGCTAGACCGTTACGGCTCTCAGCCTCCAATTGAACTATTGAGACAGTACCAAGACTTTGGTGGGTTTTACGACAGAGAAAAACTCTTTTGGAAACAGATAAAGGTAAGGAAAGGATTGAGAGACCAAATGTGCAATGTACATGTACATGTATTAATTAATTAATTTTTGAAATTTATTTTCAAGGATATGACCATATGTGCTGGTTGTGCTCCTCCTGGTGGAGGTCGTAATCCAGTCACTCCACGTTTCATTAGACACTTTGCTATGCTGTGCCTCCCTTCACCAGCTGAGGTATCACTTAAAGCTATATTCAAGGTACAGTCTACATGTACTGTAGATGTAGCAAGGGTAATGCATATTAGTGCATCGCGATCTACATGTACAATGTACATGTACAATGTAGATACAGTAAAGATAGGATTTAATCTTGTAGCAGCCAAAACCAATACTGAAAATTCACAGCTATTACTGGTAAATTAATTAACAACATACATGTACATGTACACATAGATAATATAAAAATACGCATCATTACAAAGTAAAGTGTTGCTGTGTCACTTTGTAATGCTCCTGTGGCTTCTCAGATGAAGCTTAATCTTAATGCATACCAGTCAGTGCAAGCACAGTACATGTACTGACTGTATACTACTGGATACATGTACATTGTACATGTACATGTACAATATGGGAGCTGACTTAACTTATCTGATATGACAAGTGATTGAAATCTGAAGTGAAATACATGTACATGCATGTATGGACTCTATTTTGATGAAAGCAACTAGGAAAAGGACACATGAATATCTAACTATTAGTGCAATTATTCATTCCAAAAACAAACAAGCACGTTATAAGTACAGGGTGCACCAGGACAATTATTATTATCAAGACAGAATGAGCACAATGGAGATAGCACTGCTGCTATCCTTCTCAGTTTTACTAACAGCTTCTTATGGTGCTGAAGGATCTTATTGTATGTCTACTGACTGTACTAATGCTGGATCATATCAACATGGTGGACTAGGACTGTATCTAAGAGTATGCTGTAATATTAGTAACTTAGGACAGTCTGTTACTATCAGAGACACTGGTATTAATAGATACATTCTCTGTCCTAAAGTACGACCAAAGTCCTGTCCAGGTAAAATGAATGCTAATATTGTAATTATTTATGTTATTTTGTAGAAATGTCATGCCAGGAGATTCTTAAAGCTAATCCAAAAGCAGTATCTGGAGATTACACTATTGTGTATCCAAATGGCACTGCATATACAGTTTATTGTAAAATGGACACCACAGACTGTGGAGAAGGAGGATGGACAAGGATAGCTTACATCAACATGACTGAACCTGGAGCTACATGTCCTGATGGATTTGTCACTAAAAATTTTACTAACTTTAATCACAGTTTATGTGGGATTAATCTCATTAGTGCAGGATGTCAATCAGTATTCTTCTTTAGTACTAATTGTTTGAATTATTCTAAAGTATGTGGGCAGATTAGAGGCTATCAATATCACTCACCAGACGGATTTGAAGGATCTTTATTTGTGGGTCTTGATAGCTATTATGTCTGTGGTTACTCTATTACACGTGGAAACCCTCGCCAACATATATGGACATATGCTGGTGGTATTTACCAAAACAACGTAAACGAGTATGACTGTCCATGTAACACTGGTTTCAATCTAAACCTCCCACCATCTTATGTTGGCAATGATTATTATTGTGAATCAGGATTACCAGTTGGACTGCTCCATGGTGCTGTACTTTATCCTAATGATCCATTGTGGGATGGTCAACAGTGTCTTGGATTAGAGGGCCCTTGTTGTACTAATAATCCTAACCTTCCTTGGTTTAATAAAGCACTAAATGGAGTTAGTAACACGAACTACATTGAAGTAAGGTCCTGTGTCCTATATGACTATACTAATGAAGACACTCCTCTTGATATATTAGAATATATATTAAGTAGATGCTATAGGAGTTGTATACTTTTATTATTAGAACTGTTACCAGTCTACATTACATGTCTACATTCGCTACATGTACTTATACTTGCATGTACTCCTGAGAACTGTGTTGTTGTTGTTTTATTACATGCACTCAGGAGCTACTGTTTACTGATGTTTTTGTTGCAAATAATTATCATACTAAGGCAATTCAAACTAAATTACTTGTTTTACGGATTTTTTTTCTCTAAAATAGAGCAGGCCGGTCGGAATAAATTAAAATATAAACAATAAAATTAATTAACTACTCATTAATTAACTTTAATAATTGTTAGTTAACCATAACTTTTTAAAACAAACTATCAAAATACTCTAGCAACTTCTGTGAGTGTAGGCTTATTTAACATGAATGGCTGCTCTAACAAGTCCCAAACAGTAGATGCCACAGAGGTTTGACATACAGTGGAAGGTAAGATAGAGGAGCTTGCTCTTTTAACAGTAACAAATACATTTAGCGCCATTTTGAATCTAGCCACACCCACCACGTGGTACTGCGCATGCGCATTAGAAAATTTAAATTTATTTTGATTTTCCAAAAATTGGAGTCGGTCGGATCCGTAAACCAAGTAATTTTATTGGAACTGCCTAATAAAAGAATATCAAGACAATAACAATAATGAGTGCATGTATTATGAAAAACAGCAATACAAGGTATAACTGTAAAGTATAATTGTAGCAAGATACTGCAGATGCAATTAATGCATATGTACCTGTTCATTTAAGCCTGGTTTTCCCCTGGCCGTTACAATGTGCAGCTCAAAATTAAAATTTGGTCAATTTTGCCTCAACTTCAAAGCATTTTTGTGTCAAAAGGTCAGATCGCCCATGCAATTTTAACCGTTACACCGACTATAAACATAGCCTTAGTTATAGTTATAATAATAAGCATTACAAGGAAACGGGGCACTAATTATTAGTTAATGATATTAGCTTTGCTAATGTAAAACTATGTGCAATGTGTGCTGTACAATCTACATGTACATGTAGGATTCTAATTTTCTGGCTGCCGAAATCAATATTGAATTTACAATAATTTTTAGACCATTACTGGTAAATGTATAATGAACAGCGTACACATAATGAATGTACCATGCAAATTATGAGCTAAGTAAAGTGCCGCTGTGTGTATAGTCTTAGTGTATACAGTGCAAGCACAGTGTATGTACTGACTGTATGAGAGCTGACTTAACTTTTCTGATACGACAAGTGATTGAAATTTGAAGCGGAATACATGTGTCTGATACGTGTGGGCTCTATTCCAATGAAAGCACAATGAGCATGTACAGATACAGTAAGGATAGAATATTAGTTTTGTGGTGGCCAAAACCAATATTGAATTCACAGTAATTACGTGTAGAGACAATTACCGATAAATTTAATTAACAATGTAGACTAATGTACAAACACATACCATACAAAGTGAAGTGTTGCTGTGTCACACTGTAATGCTCCTCTAGCTTCTCAGATAAAGCTTAATCCAGGGATCCTGCTTAATCTTAATGCATGCAGCCAGTGTATGCAAGCACAGTACATGTACATGTACATGTATGTACTGACTGTGTACATGTGCACTGGATTAATACAACTATTGATTGAAATTTGAAGTGAAATACATGTACAGTACATGTATGGGCTCTATTTCAATGAAAGCAACTATCGAAGGACACATGAATGTCTAATTTACACAATTATTCATTCCAAGAACAAAACAAGCACGTTATAAGTACAGGGCACATTAGGGCAATTATTATCATCAAGACAGAATGAGCACAATGGAGATAGCACTGCTGCTTTCCTTCTCAGTTTTACGAACAGCTTCTTATAGTGCTGAAGGATCTTATTGTATGTCTACTGATTGTATTAATGCTGGATCATATCAACATGGTGGACTAGGACTGTATCTAAGAGTATGCTGTAATATTAGTAACTTAGGACAGTCTGTTACTATCAGTGACACTGGTATTAATAGATATATTCTCTGTCCTAAAGTACGACCAAAGTCCTGTCCAGGTAAAATGAATGCTAATATTGTAATTATTTATGTTATTTTTGTAGAAATGTCATGCCAGGAGATTCTTGAAGCCAATCCAAAAGCAGTATCTGGAGATTACACTATTGTGTATCCAAATGGGACTGCATATACAGTTTATTGTAAAATGGACACCACAGACTGTGGAGAAGGAGGATGGACAAGGATAGCTTACATCAACATGACTGAACCTGGAGCTACATGTCCTGATGGATTTGTCACTAAAGACTATAATAACATTGATCACAGTTTATGTGGGA